GAACCCTCAACCTTCGGGTTACAAGTCCGACTCTCTATCCATTAGGCCACGACTACCCCAAAAAATTATAATAATAATTATAATAAATTATAATAAAATGAGTACATGATTGCTACAATAAAAAATGGACTACACACCACTGTTTTAAATTATCATCTATTTTTATATTTTTATAATAATAATAATAATAATAATTTATTCTAATATATTTTATATTTTCGTAATAAAATTTTCTAATTTTATTCAAATATATTTCAGTATAATATAGCCAAAACAATCCAATCCCATAATACTGACAAGCTCATTGAGTGTGTCTTTGTCTCTGTCTCTACTACAGGAACCCAGCAATAACTTCAGCACGGGAAACTTTCATTACAGTGGGGTACGTTAGTTAGATGTTCCGTCAGCAGTTGATTTATTCACAGTTTCAGGTGTTTACCTGTTGTGATTTCTTGTGTTTGTAGCCTCCGCGGCCGATGGGCAGTTACCCTCACTCTCCATTACCGGGTGACCCCACGCCCCCCGTGACCCCAGGAAGTAATATGCCACCGTATCTGTCGCCAAACCAGGACATGAAGCCCTCGTTTCCTCCTGATATCAAACCCAACATTAATGCACTGCCGCCTGCTCCAGGTATGAGCCTCTACATCACCATACATCATTTTGGCCACACTGTTAAAAATGATTTTCCTGTGTGGTTTTGTCTCGTTTCCAATACATCTATACATTCTTAAATGTGTCCCTGGAGCACAAAAGCAGTCTTAAGTCGCTGGGGTATATTTGTAGCAATAGCCAAAAAAAACATTGTATGGGTCAAAATTATCCATTTTTCTTTTATGCCAAAAATCATTAGGATATTAAGTAAAGATCATGTTCCATGAAGATATTTTGTAAATTTCCTACCGTAAATATATCAAAACTTAATTTTTGATTAGTAATATGCATTGCTAAGAACTTCATTTGGACAACTTTAAAGATGATTTTCTCAATATTTAGATTTTTAAAAAATTGACCCTTATGACTAGTTTTGTGGTCCAGGGTTATAAATTAAGATACATTTACTTCAGAAGCAAAATGATTGTTTAGAATATCGAATCATTAAATAGGCTTAATCTCCATCTTGTTTCCTAGGTAACCCTAACGAGGACCTCCGGCTGATGTTCCCGGTTCGGGACGGTGTGCTTCTGGAGCCGTTCAGACTGGAGCACAACCTGGCCGTCAGTAATCACATCTTCCACCTGCAGCCCACCGTCCACCAGACGCTCATGTGGAGGTCAGTGTGATTTTTAAATGGTCACCATGATGACAAATTGATTTTTAAATTCTAATAAAATTATTATAAAGTAACTGTACTGTAATACCGAACTCCACACAACTGTTTTAATTTATTATATTTTTTAATAATTTAATTTAATATAATTAATCATAATTATAATAATAAAATGTAAGTAATTTATTGTAATGAATTCTAATAAAATAATAAAATGCTTATAAAAAAGTAACCTTAATACCGGGTTACACACCACTGTTTTAATTTATTATAATTTGTTTTATTATTTTAGTATTTTATACTTTATTATTTTATTATTTATTATAATATATTCTAATAACATTATGATAAAATGATTGATGCAATAAAAAAGTAACTGTAATACTAGACTGTACACCACTGTTTTAATTTATTCTCAATGTTTTTATTTATTATAATAATAAAATTAAGAATAATTTATTATATTGAATTCTAATAAAAAATGATTGATGCAATTAAAAGGTAACTGTAATTCAGGACAACACCACTGTTTTTTTATTATACATTTTTAAATTATTTTATTATAACAATAAAATTAATAAAAATTTATTAATTTTAGTATATT